CGTTGTCAACAATAATATCTTTCTCAATATTAAGTATTGCTAATTTCGAAAAACCGTTCCTGTGACATAGTAGATCTAAGATAATTATTAATTCTTCTCATTGCAGAAAATGACGGTTCGCAAGTAGCTGAACTGACCGGAAGAGTGATAGCCAATTAAATAATTTTAAAAAAGATCTGGAAACGTATCTTTAGATATATTTTCTTTGGCGGTTAAATAGTTTGGAACTTATTATATCATATTTTTTAAAACAGTCATCTCACATTTCAAATCATTAGATATAACTTCAAATAAATTCTGTAAAGTAAAATACAAGTATATAATTTTTGAATGAAATAGGCAGACACTTKAAAAACAGTAATTATATATAAATAGAAAACCTTATATTGATTTATAAATAAAGATGATCCTTCAAAGTTTAATATTAATAAGTTATCTACACAAATCGTTTACTGTTCTCTTCAGAAAAGTTTTCTTTCATTTAACATATAATTGTATTATTGGACCTATTACTGGATAAAAAGCATWCATCTTCCAATATTCTTTTGGTTCTAACCTAATGGTACTTTGGTGATTATTTTCAGCTGAAGCTAATGATATAACCACATAATTTTTTAGATTGGTGAACTCCCTTTTCTGCCACCTAAGTTAAATTTAAAAAAAGTGGGTAAGTCGTGGATGTCGCTCTGCTGTACAGACGCACAGTAGGTTACAAGTGAGTTACTGTTCTATCTAGTTATTGTATCTATTACAGATGGAATTAAATTTTAATCCAATGATATTATATCATTGTATACTAAAAACGATTCTTAGCGGAGACAATTTATCTGTCTAGGATATATTATAGATTCTTAAAAAATTTCAAATATTTTTTTAGAAGTCTTGTATTAAATATACAAGCTTTTCTACCCAACAAATAAATTTTTATCGATATTTATGGAAAAAAAAAAACTAAAAACGTTAAAAAATTAAAATGTCAGTTAAAAGCTCAAAACTAATCAAAATATTTTGAAAATTTTATCAAATATAGAAAATACCTATATAACCATCCATTGAAAATTTCAARTATCTTTGGTCATTTGTTTTAGAGTTACATCAGAATAAGAAAATCGTTAAATGAGAAATCTAGTGAAAATCCAATGTTGTAAAAATTTAAGTTTCAAACGATCATTAAAACTAAATTTAACTTTCTTG